CCCTCCCTCCAGGAACTGGCAGAACATGTCAGGAACCCACAATCCCCCATCATTGCTCTTCATATGCACATACCCAGATATACTATTACTTAAAAAAACCCCATCATCTCTAGATCCACCCAACTCCCCTCTCATACATACACACTCCACCTTCTTCCCAGCTGTATGGCTCCCCTACAAGAGATCCTCCCCTCCCAATCCCACACCTTGCCACATGACGACTCCTCTGCCCCACATGGACAAAAATGCACTCCGCTCATCCCTTCCATGTCCCTGATGCCTGACAGCCCTAACCAATCCCTCACACCATTTATAACACGCCCACCACAACCCACCCCTTAATAGAGAGGTTAAAATCAGTTCCATCTCTGTAATTTTGGAACTTGTGGGCAATGTATACCTCTGCCGGCTTGGAACTGTTTTTCCCACATCTCCTGAGCTGACATAGGCAGGTAGAGGCACCAATTGGGGATGGATGTTGGTGCAATTATAAGATCCTTCTGCCCCTAGTCAGCCCTTTTTCCTTTGAGTTAACCTGCTCACCCTGGGTCCATTGTGGCTGAGGTGGTCGCTTCAGGGCCGGATAGGAATTTTGGGTCCATCTCACCTGATTGACATTCATTTATATACATATTTTGCAAATGTGGTCCTCCTCAATCCATCTCATATTCAAGGACACATTGAAGTACCCATCTCTACAATAACATATTGAAAGTGCCATGAGGCATCAGACAGTATTTGAAGTCTACAATGAGACCGTTCCATCATGTACATTGGTTTTAGTGGCCATGGCACAGCAAACAGCAATTTCCACCCTCAGGCTCACATCTGACTGAATGCCTGACAACAACCAAAACTACTGCAAATATGGAAGCTCTTTAATCCCCCTTCGCCCTAAGGAAGGTTCCTAAAAATGTGGTTCCACATTTGATGAATTTGATGCTCCTTCCTCCTCTTCCCCATTGTGAATAAAATCAGAACAAATTCATTTTAGCAATTGCTAGTAAAGTCCTGAACAGGATTTGGGAGGGATCCCACCTCCCTTTTGCCTCAGCCACAGCAGCGTAATATTCAGGTACCAATGAAATTGAAGGAGTTTGCGTTTTTGACAGTAACTGTCATTCAATATTTTGGTTTACTGAAGCGGTCTGGACCACGTTAGGATTGGTCACACCACCGCATAGCTCTGTGGGTGTATTCAGCCATGTACCCATGTCCTTGAGAACTTGCTTATCTATGCCAGAAAATACATCCTTAATCTCATTCATTTTTCCTACACTCTGACCCTGGTCTGAAATCTTTCTTTCATGACAGCAGTAAAATGCAGAGGCCACAGATCACTGATAATCTCCCTTAACGTGCCTGAGTTAATCAGAGATGTGAAGGTCTACATGAGATTGCCTTTCTCCCTCAACACAGCAAGACCTTGACAGTCACAGAGAACTTTTATGCAGCAATGTACAAAAGGCAGCTTTGTTCCCTTGCGTATCAGCACACAGACTAAAGCAATGCAAGGGGGAAGGCACTTTAAAATAGGTTTTTTAAGTGGTTTCTCACCTGTTTTCATCTGATCAATATGTAATTGTGTTTTAATATAGCTGTGTACAGCTTTCTACCCTGCTATCATTGTACAGTTTTAAGGGTTGTGAATTGCCTTGGGAAGGCAGCATATAAACAAAAAAATGAACTCCCATCATTCCTCACCACAGCAAGGGCAGATGGGATTTACAGCCCAGCAACATATGGAAGGCCACAAATTCCTAACAACATTTTGCTGAAGCACTCTTACTTGGATAAAAATTAGAAAAAGGCTGTGTGGTGTGTCCCCTGCCCCCCCCCCAAAAAAAACCCACAATACAAATGCAGGAGCAGGCAGTACCTTTACTGGACCACTTAAAAAAAAATCAAGTACACTATATAAAGGAGCAGGCAGTACCTTTACTGGACCACTAAAAAAAATCAAGTATATAACTATATTTCACTGATAATTTCTCAGGCTGTACACCAAGATCTTGTGTATCATTCAGAAAAATGATGTACTGGAGTCCCAGAGTTCCATGGCATGGCTGTTGTTGATGCCAGGCAAGTTTTCTTAGGTCAGTTGAGCAATACACAAACAGTTTGTGAGTATATTCTCGAAGGCTTTCACGGCTGGGATCTGATGGTTGTTTGTTGTGGGGTTTGTTGGGCTCTTTGGCCGTGTTCTGAAGGTTGTTCTTCCTCATGTTTTGCCGGCATCTTCAGAGGACTAGAGTAGGAACTCTGTGGGTGGTTCGAAATTCATTACCAAGCAACATTTTAGAATTTAACTTCAGAGGACTGGAGTAGGAACTCTGTGGGTGGTTGGAAACTCCTTACCAGGCAGCATTTTGGAATTTAACTCCCATCTCTTCAAACAATCACCAAGGAATCTATTTTCTCCCTCTCCAGCCAACCGATTGCCTTCTTTTGAAATTCAAGGTTTCTATTTGGCTGGAGGAGGGTGGGGAAGGCAACAGAACCAAATGGCAGGCCTCTATCAGAAGTCCATGGGGTCACGAAGAGTCAGACACGACTAAACGATGACGAAAGCCGATTTTAGCCGGACTACCTGGTGGACATTTTCTTCAACATGCAGTACTGCTTGGTTGGTGTCAATAGTCCCTTCATTGGGACATTGTTTGGTGCACTGTAGATGGATAGTGTCTCTACTTACCATTTTATTTTGAAAAGTAGTTCTCCAAGGAAAAAAGTAATTCTACTTCTCTTAATACAAATTGACTCACAAAGTCTGGCAAAGTCCCTTTCTCTGAGCTACTGTTAGCCTGTGGAGAATACAGGTGAGGTGGCTAAGTAGGGGGGAAATGGGTTAAATGCCCTTTTCTGCCTAGGTCTCAGGAGTGAATCAGCTGGGGATGTTAATATTTCTATATTAATGTTAATGTTGCTATTTGAATGAGAAAGAAATCCTTGTTCTTTTGTTGCATTTAGTTATCAATTTTAAATGACTGGCTATAATTGTAATAAAACTAAAAGAAAAAAGGAACCCTAGCTCACAACACTTGTATTCCAAGAAATTCAGATGCAGATCACCTTCTGCCTTTAATTTATTCTCACGAGAACACTGTGATGCAGATTACAGGTGAGACAGACCCTTCCAAAGGTTATCTAGTGAATTTCACACAGATTTGAGTGACTATTTGGACAGGGTCTCGCCAAAGTCTTAGGCCAACATTCTAATGCCATCTTTCTCAACCTAGGGTTCGCAGTTGCTGCTTGATGACAACTTTCATCATTTGTTGCCACAGGTCATGTTGGCTGAGGATGATGGTAAATGTAGTTAGAAAAGGACTGAAAGTCCTGGTAGGGAAAAGTTGCTCTAGTTCCTACACTATACCAGCTATTTACAAACTTTGGTTCATAAAAGGAACAGTACCAAATGGCTCCTGAAATGCATTGGCTCAATGGCCACAGAAAAACATGACATGTCTGGACAGCTCCTCCAACTCCACTCAGTAGAAACAGAAGGTCTTTCTAAATTGTTCCCCCAAAAAGCTTTAAAACAGCTGCCTCTGGAAAATCCATAATTCCTGTTTTCAGTCACTGACAATCAGAATGTAAGTCAAGCTGTGAAACAATGACTTAATGACCAGAGTTTGGAAAAAATGCTACTTTTTTTCAACTTTATGTTATGTGTAGTGATGCTGTCTTTGACTTAGGGCACTCATTTATACAGCTTTATTTCAAGGCTAAAATACTATTACCTTCAATTAGAAAGTTGTTGCATGACCTATTCAGATATATGGGAACAGTGAATTCCCAAAAAGATTATGATATGAAGACTAGGTAGTAGCTATGTGATGATGACAGGCGTATGGTAGATATAAAATCCTTGGGCCTTTGAGATCCCCTTGGGAGAACACATGAGTGGCAGAAGTACCCCCAATGGCCCACGTAGATCAACTTTCAGTCTCTCTAGCCACCTCAATGCACCACAGTGGTCATTTGGAAATGCAGAAGCATTTGCCTAATGCCAGTGCACTACAGTGACATTCAGAAGGCGATTCCCCCCCCCCCCCCAATTTTGC